CGGAAGAGGGCGTAGTAGGGGAAATGGGAAATGCGACGGGCGAGAGGGTTAGGTCACCAAAGCAATGGTTTTGGGCGAGATGGGAAGATGGCCGAGGAGGGGAAGCGGGAAATGCGAGAGGGTTCGGTCACCAAATCCATGGTTTTGCGCGAAATGGGAAGGAGAGTGCACGGGCGGGTGATTTTTGGCGGAAGAGAAAAAATTGAGTCAGAGGTTCCTGCGGTTTGTTTTTTAATGCTTTGTTAGCACTTCTAAAAAGCCTCCTTAAATGAATGCTACTAAAGTCTCTTTTTCTTTTATTAGTGCATATGTGTATTTTGATGTCAATATTAAGAAAAAATATTGTGTTCAAAGCGCTGCATCCAGACAATGAATGTGATACAGCGGAGGTCCAAACTCCCGCTCCGTCTCGCTATATCACGTCCGGACTCTGGACGCAATATTTTCTCCAACATTAAACATTAATGTCAGTGGGATTGTTATGTAGTCAATGAGTAACGACCTTTTTGGTGACCATACATCACTATTGATATCAATTGTGAGTATCAATCTTATTAGTGATAATGTGGTTCAATTTTTATGTCAATAAAATGTATCAGACTTTATTAAGGGTGTTTGACAAAGGATGTTATATTTTTAAATTGTATTGAGCAGTAATAATGATGATGTTGTGTACGTGCATTAATCATGTTAGTGATGACGTGCATCAACTTTTGTGTTGAAAACTTGCATTTGTCTTACTAGCAATGATAGACATCAACATTAGTGTGGATGATGTGTACTAATGTTAATGGTAATGGTAGGATTCAATTTGGATTTAGATCAAGACACTATTGAAATCACTTATTTTGTCTCCTTAAAATACTCATTTTGACTATAAATTTGCTAATAATATAGTTCATATGATCCCAATTTTAGCTCTAAGATATTATAAATCATAAATTTGCATAAATATTTGATTTTTGAGATATATCAGTACATTTGATCAACAAACAGAATTATACTCATTTTAAAGCATGTCTACAAACTTCGAAATTATGAAAATATCATGATTTTTCTGTTCTCACCAATAAATAATTCTTGATTTACATTTTAAATTTGATATAATAAATATGGAAACTTCTATAATATTATACAGCTTATATTTATAGAAATTTCTTAGTTGAATTCTTTATCAATCAAACATAATTAAACAAGCTCATATATATATATATATATATATCC